AACTTAAGTTGAACACTTGCTTGCCATGTTGTGTTAAACAATACTTGTCAACTTAAGTTGAACACTTGCTTGCCATGTTGTAGTTAAACAATACTTGTCAACTTAAGTTGAACACTTGCTTGCCATGTTGTAGTTAAACAACACTTGTCAACTTAAGTTGAATACTTGCTTGCCATGTTGTAGTTAAACAATACTTGTCAACTTAAGTTGAACACTTGCTTGCCATGTTGTAGTTAAACATACGACACACAATAAACGTATTGACTGTCTCATAATTTTTAGCCTCCAACGCATAGTTTTTGGCTTGTGCGTGTTTGCGTAAAACTAAGTGAACAGGCGATTTGTTTGTTTGTTTATTAAATTTCAAACAAAGCTACACGAAGGCTATCAGCGCTAGCCGTCCCTAATTTTGAAGTGGTAGACTAAAGGGAAGGCAGCTAGTCAACACTTCCCACCGCCAACTCTTGGGCTACTCTTTGCCAACTCATAATTTGTTTGTTTGTTTGTTTATTAAATTTCAAACAAAGCTACACGAAGGCTATCAGCGCTAGCCGTCCCTAATTTTGAAGTGGTAGACTAAAGGGAAGGCAGCTAGTCAACACTTCCCACCGCCAACTCTTAGGCTACTCTTTGCCAACGAAAAGTGGGACTGATTGCCATATTATAACGCTCCATGTTCGAGCACCCTAACCACCAGGCCATGTAAACAGACGCAACATTTACGACATCTAACCAGTAAGCTAACTAACCGTGCCATATCTATAGACTTAATATTAAGGCCTAGTTAGTTGAAAACATATATTTTAATACTGTGACAACGTTCCGTTATTTATTAACTCATAATATGGGTTTATATTAATACACTAAGTTACAAAGATTTTAACTACAACACCTTGGGAAAATTAATATATTTTGTTATCTAAATTCTTGTAGAATGATTGTCACTCTAGTACCATTTAATGGGTTTGTAGTGGAGTAAATTTTACACAGATTACTCTGTCTCTTTAGAAATCCTTTTTGTAAGGTGTCTTTATTTGTATATTTACGGAAAGTGTGGGTGTATTTTTGTTTTTCTTGGAGGAATGTGAGAATCGAAAAAAAACTTAATGTAACAAAAATATATAATTCATTTTCCCCCTAATTAGATAACTTAACCAAAATATGTTTTATTTCACTTAAAAGTTCGACTTATGTGAAATCCCCCTAGTAGTACAACGGTAAGTCTGAAGGCTTATATCGCCAAAAACGGGGTTTCGATACCCGTGATGGGCACAGCACAGCTAGCCCAAGCGTACCTTTATGTTTAACAACAAACAAACAACAAAATGTCCCCCAGTGGATCAACGATAAGTTTACGGAGTTGCAGCACCAAAATCCGGGGTTCGATTCACCGTGGGAGACCGAACGAGGAAAGCCTTTTATGTAGCTTTGTGATAAAACAAATTAACTTTCAAGCTCCTACCCTCTTTTATTGGCTGAGCGGTTAGTTTGTAAACGATCTCTGTAGTGAGCACAGTGCAGATATCCAGAGTAGTATAGTAA